AAGAAAAAGAGTATGTCAAACAAAAGAAAGCAAAACACTGGAATAAGCAGAACACTTTTCTAGATTCTTTATTGACATCTTGAGTTTGGTCTTCTAGCTCCAGAAAGATAAGAGGATAAAATTTCTAATATATAGTTCGATCGGTAGCGGGAGCGGAGAGCAGATCCCAGAGAGCCCTGAGCAGCCCATCACACACCCGGAGGAGCCGCAGCCTGCCCGGTCACCATCGCCGCAACCGTGAGCAGCTGGGCCAGACCCAGCAGCCGCCCCCACCCCACGCCACCCTCAGCCCTGCTGACACCGAGCCCGGCACCGCGGAAGCAGAGCAGGGAGCTGTGGCCCGGGCGACCTCACAGAGGCTGCGCCTGCCGCCTGCCGGAAGGGACAAAAAGGTCATAGCAGCAAAGGTTTTGGGAAGAGTAAAATGGTTTAAGGTAAGAAGCAGATATGGCTTGATCAACAGGAATGACACCAAGGAAGATGTACTTGTACACCAGACTGCCCTAAAGAAGAATAACCCCAGGAAGGACCTTCGCCGTGTAGGAGATGGAGAGACTACGGAGTTTGGTGTTGCTGAAGGAGAAAAGGGTGCGGAGGCAGCGAATGTTACAGGCCCTGGTGGAGCTCCAGTTGCAGGCAGTAAATACGCAGCAGACCGTAACCATTGTAGACGCTATCTACGTCGTAGGGGTCCTCCACGCAATTACCAGCAGAATTACCAGAATAGTGAGAGTGGGGAAAAGAATGGATCGGAGAGCGCTCCCGAAGGCCAGGCCCAGCCACGCCGGCCCCACCACAGGCGAAGGTGCCCACCTCACTGCATGCAGAGACCCCGTGGGCGTCGTCCACAGTACTCCAACCCTCCTGTGCAAGGAGAAGTGATGGAGGGTGCTGACAACCAGGGTGCAGGAGAACAAGGCAGACAAGTGAGACAGAATATGTATCGAGGTTATAGACCACGATTCCGTAGGGACCCTCCTCGCCAAAGACAGCCGAGAGAGGATGGCAATGTAGAAGATAAGGAAAATCGAGGAGATGAGACCCAAGGTCAGCAGCCACCTCAACGACGGTACCGTCGCAACTTCAATTACCAACGCAGACGCCCAGAAAGCCCTAAACCACAAGACGGCAAAGAGACAAAAGCAGCCGATCCACCAGCTGAGAATTCGTCCGCTCGGGAGGCTGAGCAGGGCGGGGCTGAGTAAATGCCGGCTTAACATCTCTACCATCATCCGGTTTAGTCATCCATCAAGAAAGAAACGAATAGGAAATTCCAGCAATAAGAAATGAACAAAAGATTGGAACTGAAGACCTTAAGTGCTTGCTTTTTGCCCGTTGACCAGATAACTAGAACTATCTGCATTATCTATGCAGCATGGGGTTTTTATTATTTTTACCTAAAGACGTCACGTCTCTTTTTGGTAATGACAAACGTGTTTTTTTTAAAAAGCCTGGTTTTTCTCAATACACCTTTAAAGGTTTTTAAATTGTTTCACATCTGGTCAAGTTGAGATTTTTAAGAACTTCACTTTTAATTTGTAATAAAAGTTTACAACTTGATTTTTTCAAAAAAAGTCAACAAACTGCAAGCACCTGTTAATAAAGGTCTTAAATAATTGTCAAATAAAATAAAATAAAATTTCTAATATATATATTAGACTTCACCCTGGCCTGGTCTTGTGGCCACAATACTCCAAACTCTAATACATATATATATATATATATATATATATATATATATATATGGTCTCACTAGGTAGATTGTAGTGATCTGCCTGTGTTCAGCTTCCCAAGAGCTGGGATTACAGGTGTGCACCACCATGCCCAGTCTCCATTGCCTTCTCAGCATGCTCTGGGGGCAGGGCTGGCATGGCATGCCAAGGATCGAACCCTGGCCACTGCATCTGCCTAAACTGGTGCTTTAATCTGCTGAGCTATTGGGCCAGCCCTAAATTTCTTTTTTTTCTTTTCTTTTTTTTTTTTTGGCAGAACTGGAGATTGAACTCAGGCCCTTGCGCTTGCCAGGGAAGTGCTTATTCTACTGAACCATCTCCCTGGCCCTAAATTTCTATTGTTTTGAGCACCATGTTTGTAGGAGTTTGCTATCACAGTCCTGATGATACAGGGAGAAAAACTGGTGGGTGACCTCCAAACCATATAGGGAACCTCCAAATGACATAGAATAAGGATTTTTTGTTGTTGTTGTTGTTGTTCCTCGCATGCCTTCAGGGCACGTTTGGCCAGCGGAAGAGTTGTGAGGTTCGAACTCCAGCCACCTGAGGCTGATAGCTTTGTGGAAGCAGCCACTTAAAGGACTGAGGTAGGCCCAGGCCCCCTCCAAATGACATAGAGAAAAATGATCTCTGGACCTGACCTGCACGAGTTCGTGTTCTCTAAAACCAAAGAATGAATTTTAGGAACAAACAGGATATGAGCAGAATATATTTATTGAGAGAAAGAAAGCTCCTGTCCAAGAGAGGGACAGGAGGGGGGCCCGAGCGGATAGTTCCCCCGGGATGCTGTCTTTTCCAGGGATTTTTATAGTGTAAAACCATGCAGGGCTAAGGTAGAGAGAATGGGAACTCACTTAGGTGGGCAGGAGGTGGGACAAAACTATGGTCAACCAATGGGATTACAAGCACCATTGCTCAGGTAAAACTGATTAAATCCAGTATCAAATGGGAAAGCAAGTCACGTAGCAAGCAGGCATGAATATGGAACAGGGTCTCTTCCTGTTGGGGGTTGAGCTAGTGATTCATTTGGGGTCTTTCAAGCTGACTGATACTATTTAGAATATCAATCCCTAATGCCCATCCCTAGGGAAGTATGTAGCTGTGCTTCCTCTTGTCTTGGTCTTGAGGTGTGGCCCATATGGGAGTGTCTGTCTCCTCCAAGTTGCAAAGTCACCTTGTCTTCCATCTTGTTTCCTTGAGGGCCTGGCCCTGTCTGACTGCCTAGAATATTTCTGTCTAACTCAGCTGCCTGCAACACTGGGAAACAAGCATGATGCTTGGACATGTTCCTCAGATGTCCCCCCAGGGATGCTGTCTGGGACTGCACTGTTCAGTCACAGCAGAAGTCACCTGATGACCCTTGGCTCTGTGGGTTTTCAGCCTTGTACAGGAGGGGGGAGGTACAGCTGCAGCCCTGCAAGGGTCTCTGCTTGAGTGCCAGCCCAAGCTCTGCTCTTGCCCAGCTATGGGGAGGGAGCAGCTCTCTAAGCAGCTGGGGTGTGGGGATGGCTCATCTGTGGTGCAGAGAGTGGCTTAATCCACTCCGGCTGAGGGGGCAGCTGGCCAGGCCCTCGTCCAGGACAGCGGAGGCTGTGGGAAGCTGGTCAGCAAGATGGCTGGAAGCCCAGTGTTGGGAGCAGGCCAGGGTGAAGTCAGATAGCCTATCCTCTCCCTTCTCATTATCTAATAAACTTGCTCATGCTTAGGCTTTGATTATGCTTCCCCTCCCTTGGAGATGCAGTGAAGGAGGCACTCCACATTCAGGATGAACTTTCAGGAATTATGGTCAGTTTCTGGGGGCTCTCCGTGTCTTGTCTCTCCCTCCCCTTCTCTGTCATATCTGCATCATTTCATCACACATTTTGACTAGTCTGAAATTCCTCCATTGCTGGCCCTGGGATCTGTAACATCCCACAAGATCTTCCAGCAAGTAAATTCTTGAGGTCAAGGCCACTGAGCACACCTGTATGGATTCCCTTAGCAGGGAAGCAGTTGCCTGAAAGGAAAAGGAAAGACAGGAGAAATCCAAAGTTAATATCCACTTCATACTTTGCCTGGGTCAGGCCTGCTGCCAAGCTTACAGGAAGGTCAGAGATGACTGGGAAGTGTTTGACTTCACGCTGCCTTCTGTAGCAGCTTCCTCTTTTCTCCACACACTTCCAGCTTTGTTCTTCTAATTCACCTCTTATTTTCTCCAAAGCTGGAGCTCTGGAGCTGGGCTGCTCTTCTGTTCTCCAGCCTCAGAAAATCCACATCAGGAAAGTGTAGAAGAAAACATTCTACTTAAATGGTTTATACAAAATAAGCACAGTGTGCTCTTTGTGGTGATAGTTTTAAGGGTTTTGGGGCCAGCCAAATGGCTCCGCAGACTAAAGCACATGCAAACAGATGCAGGGGTTGGGGGTTTGATCCCCTGGCCTGCCCTGCGGGCTTTGCCCTCACCCCTGGGGCACACTGAGATGGTGACTGAGACTGTGTGTGATGACGCACACCTATAATCCCAGCTCTTGGGAGGCAGTAAACAGGTGGATCACTATGAGTCTGATCTAGTAATGAGACCCTGAACATCATGAAGACCTTTCCCTAAAAAAAAACAAAAACAAAGTTTTAAGGGTTTTGGCAAATGCGTATAATCAGGTAGCCACCACCCCAGAGCTGGTAGAGTTCCATCATCCCCTGGGCTCCATACCATATTCTGTGGTAGTCAGTGATTTCCCTGAGTCCTGACACCACCGATTCATTCTTTGTCTCCATAGTTTCACAATGTCATAGAAATGGAATTATTCGCTGTGTGGCCTTTGGATCTGGATTCTTTTTTATTTTTTATTCTTTTATTGGTACATGTTTGCAGTACATAGTGATTACATTCATTATGGGGTGTTGGTACATGTACTTGACATTAATCCTTTTTTTTTTTTTTTTTCCCTTGACACCTGGATCTGGCTTCTTTACTGAGTAAAATGCATTTGAGACCATGCCATGTCATGACCCAAGTGTGAATCAACAGTTGTTTCTTATTTACTACATTATTCCATTTCTTTACGTGACATAGTTTGCTTATCCATTCCCCAATTGAAGGATATCTGGTTGTCACTAGTTTTGAGGGATTATGGTACAACTACAAGAAATATTCACATATAGGTTTTCATTTCTCTTGGCTCATACCTAGGTATTAGATTGCTGCATCATGTGGAAAGTCAATATTTACCTTTATAAGATACTCTAGGGTTTTTCAAAGTACCAGTATCATTTTTCATTCCCTCCAATTTGTAGAATTGTTCTAGAAACTTGTTTGAAAAAAGCTGTCCTTTCTCCATTGCATTACCTTTGCACGCTTGTCAAAAATCACTTAAGTATATTGGTGTGGGTTTGGATTCCTCATGTTGTTTTGTTAATGTATGTGGCTATTCTTTTGCCAATATCATGCCATGTTGATAGTAGTTTAAAAGTAGTCTTAAAATTAAAAAAAGAAAGTAGCATTAAAATCTAAATTTAGGGGCCAAGGAGATGGCTCAGTGGAATAAGCATTTCCCTGGCAAGCGCAAGGGCCTGAGTTCAATCCCTGGTTCTGAAAAAAAAAAAAAAAAAAAAAAATCCAACTTTGTTCTTTTTTTCAAAGTTATTTTAGCTATTTCAATTCTTTTGTCCTTTAATATACATTTTAGAATCAATTTTTTTATATCTACTAAATAATTCTTCTTGGGGGTATTATGATTATATTGAATCCATCAATCAATTTAGGGATAATAGGTAATTTAACAATGTTGAGTCTTCCTTTCTATGGATATCCTGAATCTATCCATTTATTTTTTATTTCTTTCAGAACTATTTTATATTTTTCAACAAAGAGCTCTTATACATATCCTGTTAGATCTATACTTAGATATTTTATTTTAATGCTATTATAAATAGTATCTTAAAAATGAGTTCTAATTGTGCTATTAAAATGCAATCAATTTTTTATGTTTATCTAACATCCTACAAATTTATCAGTTACTCTTTAGCCCAAAAAGCATTCTGTATATTTTTGGAACTTTTCTATAGAGATAATTATGGTATCTGTGAAAAAAGAGTTTTATTTTTTTACTTTTAAGTCTCTTTTATTTTTTTGTTTTCCTTGCATTGGTTAGAAATGTAGAATGGTGTTGAATCCAAGTGGTGAGCGAGGGCACCCTTTCCCATTCCTGATCTTAGGGGAAAGAATTCAGCTTTTCATCATTAAACATGCTGTTATCTGTAGAGTTTTATAGATGCCATTTGTCAAGTTAATGAAACATCTTCCATACCTAGTTCTCTGAGAGTTTTACCATGAAGGGATATTGAGTCTTGTCAAATACTTTTTTGTATCTAATAAAATGATCAGATGGTTTTTCTTTATTGCTCTGTCAATGTGATGAATTGCATCGATCCTCTCATGTTAAATCAGTCTTCTATCCCTGAAACAAGCCTCACTTGATTTCTGTGTATTATCT